CATCTCTTTATTTCCTCCCTCTTTGGAGAGCCTCGTAAAATCGGTACAATACAAAATAAAATCTCATTCTTTGATATTTACAAGAGGTTAGATAAAATAGCAACGTTACACTGTCCCACTGACACATTCATTCATTCATTCATTCATCCCTAAATTCCTTCATTCATGATTACTCATTTAATCTGAACGTACCTCTAGCTTTGTAAGAAAAGCTGCGCCCATCTCCCTCCTCATCCCCGATGTTTCCCTCTGGTTTGTTCTGCTGCTCGGAACCTTCTTTCTGCTCCGGCCGCACACTCACGTGTGGGTCTCCCATGCCAAGATTGCCAGTCGGGGTGTCAGCAGACGCAGCGCCGGAACCCTGTCCACTGGCATGCCCTTGATCCACGTCTTGTGTGTGTTCTTCTTCCCCCGTGTCTTCTTTCTTGTGGTCTTTTTCCTTCTTCTTTCGGCCTGCTTGTTTCTTTTCCTTTTGCGTGGGGTGACCAGGAGGGAGGTCAGGAGGTGTATCACGTTGAAAGCCGGAACCAAGAATCACATTTCCGATGCCATACTCTAGATCCACGTCAACGTACGTATGGCCTTCTTCCTGAACCTCCTGCTTTCCTTCTGATTGTTTCTTTTCTTTTTCACCTTGCGTAGGATGGCCGTCTTCTTCTTGCTTTCCTTCTGCTTGTTTCTTTTCTTTCTCCTTTTGGTTGGGGTTGCGAGGAGGTAGCTCAGGAGGTGTACCACGTTGAAAGCCGGAACCAAGAATGACATTGCCGATTCCATACTCTAGATCCACGTCGACGTACTGACGGCTTTCTTCTTCTTTCTTGTTGCCTCCTCGTTCCTTCTGTTTCTTGTCTAGGGTAGGATGACCAGGGGGGAGCTCAGGAGGTGTACCACGCTGAACATCCTGCTTTCCTCCTTGAGCGGGATTTCGAGGAGGAAGATCAGGGGGCGCTGCGCGTTGAAAACCAGAACCGAGGATGACATTTCCAGCACCATACTCTAGATCCACGTCTACGTACTTATTCCCTTCTTCTTCTTTCTTCCTGACGGCTTGTTCCTTTTCTTTCTTCCCTAGGGTAGGGTGGCCAGCGGGTAGCTCGGGCGGTGTAGTGCGTTGTAACATGGAGCCCAACATCACGTTTACGCCGCCGAACTCTAGATCTACGTCTTCATACTTGTGACATTTCTCTCCTTTCTTTAGGCCAGCCCCAACCGTGGTATTTCCACGGGCATACAGTAAATCTATATCATCGTAAGTATTGACTTCTTGTTCGTAATCGCCTTCCGGCGACGACTGTGAGTTGTTCGACGCCATTTCTATCTGTTAGGAACAAATATTAACTACAATCAACATGTTTAGAGTTAAAACTTTTGGTCCGGCAACACAAAAAAGTTCTCCCACCTAGAGCTTCCGACCAGTCACTCTGGTCTTCCTCAGTAGACTGACCCAATGAAGCTTGTCACGTGGCTTCTTTGAAGTGTGACTTACCGCGACGGGGGTCGACATCGTCTAACAGATACCTTTGGCCCAGTGTTGACGTCACACCTCAAAGAAGCCACGTGACAAGCTTCACTGGGTCAGTCTACTGAGGAAGACCAGAGTGATTGGTCGAAAGCTCTAGGTGAGTGAACTTTTTTTGTGTTGGACCAAAAGTTTTAACTCTAAACATGTAACTACCAACACAGATGAACTTTCATGATAGTACAATCAACATGTTCCCCATGGCTACGTTTTTTTTAAATGTCTATACAATGTTGTGTAACTGTTGATTCATGAAGCTGCACGGTGCACATACAAATATAATTAGGCTTGCCCCTAAGGCGTCGCCAAAATATTACAATCATTTTGCTCCTATAAAAAATCACATCTCCAAGCGTTTAAATTTCATGACCCAGTTTACTATCTACAGTGTTTTTATGATGACCGATTGCGTGTTGTAGGGTGCACGATCACAATTTGTTCTTGTTATATTTTGATACTGCAAGAAGGGTCTCGACAAGCCTGGAATCTTTTAGCGGCATTAAAACAAAATTTTCTATATAGCTTCATGTCAGCAAAACCCAATAACATTGTTGTCATTTTTGTCAATGTGAATCATTTTTTATTCAAGTGGGCAAACCTGTACTCCAATGACCAAAGTTTTGTAGGATTTTCCTCATATTTTGGTGTGTTAGAGATTTAAAATATCGTGATAAACAACACCTTACCAGACTAATTTCAAAGCAATGCATATGAAAAATGAGCTCACCCTGAGATCATAATAGTATGAATTAATTCTGTGTATTATGCTTTGTTTGTTATGGGGTAGGAATATTATCGTAGGGTTAATAAGAATAAAAAAAAACATATCAATGCCCTTACTACGAAAAATACCTGGCTAAAAAATTAAGTCACTCGTGAAAACACCCAACATAATGTCGTAATAAACATAAAATAAAACTGTGTTAACCTGATGCTGAAAAATCAAACATAACCGAAAAAAAAAAACGTGATTCAATGTTGGTAAACAAAATGTTGTCAATACAATCTCCAACCCTGGAGATATCTGAAAATCCCAAACAACCATTATGAAACAAGAGAAGTAAGATTTACATGGCTTTTTCTGAAGTAATTCCCGTTAAATAGTGTACGAATGTGGGAGTCATATTTGTGTGTGTGCGTGCGTGTGTATGTCTGTTTGTGTGTGGGGTGTGTGTGTGTGCGCGCGTGTGTAATATGCCTGTGTGTGTGCGCGTATGTGAGAGTGGTATTTGTGTGTGTGCGTGCGTGTGTGTGAGAGCGCGCGTGTGTGTGCGCGCGAGAGTGGTATTTGTGTGTGAGGGCGCGTGCATGTGTGCGTATGTGATAGTGGTATTTTTGTGAGTGTGTGTACATGCGTGTGCGCGTATGTACAGTCAAAAGCGACATGACATACCTCTACGTTAGTTTGTCCCCATGTTGACACCTGAAGCGTCCAGCCTCGACTGTTTCAAAATGCTACAAACTGGCCCTGCCAGCACGCGCTGTAAAATTCATTACTTCTACTTATTCATGTATTACTCATATATACAGCATGTAACCCTTTATCAGGTCGAGGTAAGCAGCTTGTTTTTTAAACAATGAACAGACTAATTTCAAACACGTGAAAACTCAGTACCCACCTACACTGCATATTCAAATTTGCAATATGCCACGCAAGCGCGTTCGTTTATTTGTCGTGTAAAGTGCCTTTCCCAAGGACACAAGATTGGTGGCATGTCAGGACTCGAACCCGGGACCTCTTGATTCCGAGTCGAGTACTCTGCCACTATGCCATACGACCTCACCCTTTTGCCTCTTTGGTGCAAAACAAGCAAAGAAAAACAAAAATGACCCAAACCAACTTGTCCTTTTTTATGAAGTATTGTTTCTTTTTACAAGTAAATAACATTGAAGTAACAATTGTATCGCTTTTCACTAATAAAGTCTTAAAATGGTACATATTCCCCTTCTGAAATGCTACCTACAACTATATGCATATGGCTGTTAGAAGAGTAAACAGAATAATGCTTTTTAAAGTAGTTCTGTAAATGTTATTCTACATGTATACAATATACAAATTTCCAGACAGCTGAAACAAACTTCCTATTAACATGAGTGTGTTTGTTGTTGGGGATCTGGATGTGTCAGGTATTATACATAGTCAAGCCATGTCACCACTGTTAGTGTGATCTATATACATTACAGTAAGATGTAGGAGTTACAAATGTATGTAGACATTACAAAGGATGTACAGAATGATGTTTTAAGGGCTGTATTTACAAACATCTTTGGTCTTTTGTAAACTGTACCTAAGTCCCGACATCAGACTCGAGTCTCCCGTACTAATATCTTAGAGACTTGGCAAGAAACAAACGATAATGGATTGAACTGTACAGAGACATGCACTGACTTGGTCTGTCAATTGTGGTTTAGAGTTAATTTACTGTTAGTTTACAACGAAGAACAGTTATACCCGCCTTCTGGCTCCTGAGTCTCTGCAATTCAGGTAAATTCAGGTAAATGTATTATATACAGTATATTTATATACTGTATATATATTTACAAACATCCACAGTTGAAGGCTGCTGTCTCCTGTCTGACTGTGTCATAGTCACAGCCGGCACACACCACATGGTACCAGCATTCACACTGGTCACACTGCACCTGGAGGGGGGGGGGGGGTCAAAAGGCATGTTTATTTGAGTAAAGAGACTCTTTTTACACAACCAAGTCTTCAATTCAGTCGATGTTTCAGTGACCGTCTGTCACCTTCCTCAGGGCAATTCTGACTGGTTTACATTGCACTGCAGCTGAGGTGTCGCTGTTATAGATACATTCCCAAACGTACAATATTTACATAATCTTATTATTGTACAGTGTGCTGCAGTGCAATGTAAGTAAAGTAAGAAATAGCTGGGGGAACATCCTCAACAAGCTGTAATAGCTTCTTTTCTACCACAGTACATTCTTTTCTGTCATTAGTTATGTTTTGTCAATTGCTTTTACTTTATGCAAAGATGCAAATAAAGAAAAATTGCATCAAACTGTCGCCCTGTGGATATGATTTTGGAAACGGTCCAAAATCATATCCAGTTGCTTGTGTACTAGTAACTGTTTCTTGGTGTGTCTAGCTAATATCCTTGATACCTTGATACGTCTTCCAGGAAAGAAGGCCGGGGCCTGTTATGTCCTGATCTCTGCTCACTCGGTTGCGTACCTTCGCTTCTCCCAGTGACTGTCAAGTCTGCTTTTGAACTGATTAACAGTTTCTGCTGCTACTACTTCTTGAGGCAGAGAATTCCAGTTTTTGATTGTTCTGACACTGAACCCCTGCGCCCTAACCCTGGATCTTGCTAGAGGAACTTTCAACTTGAGGTTGTGACCTCTGGTCGCTGTTTGATCCGCTGGCTCGAAGAAACAGCTGACTGGGACCCTCTCAAGGCCCTTCATAGCTATACATTATGGTGCATGGTAAAGGGCCTGTCTGTTTAATGTGCCTTACCCAGCTGATCATGTCCCCCTCCGGCCTGCTGCAGTCAAACGAGTCACAGATTACCCAGTCCTCCTCACCTGACCTGTCAGACTTCACTCGTCTCCCTCTCTTAGCAGGGACACCAGGCTTACCTGCAGGGGGGGAGAGAGGAACAACTATTTTGGTCATGTCATGGAGTCATATGGTGTAATGACACTAGGGTGTTCAACTCTGAACAAAGTGGTCCTGGGTTTCGAATCTTGCCCGATGTCAACGATCTTCTGCCCCTAGGAAAGGCACTTTACACATCTTTCCTCACTTCACTCAGGTGAAAATGAGTACCTAGCTACAGAGTATGGTTAGGGACGTCCCTCGGATAGTATGTTAAATGGAGGTCCTGTGTTTGGGAAGAGCCATACCCCATGCACGTTTAAGATCCCACCATACTTATAGTATAGAAAAGAGTAGGGGACCTTCCGATTGTGAGTTTACTGTATGTGCTGTACTTTGCAAATTTGTGAAACTTGTATATGGAATGCAAATGTAATTTTGATATTTAAGATGCAAATGTGAGGAAAATTTGAATTTCGTTATGCTAAATGTGTGTAATATGTTGACTGTGCAGTTGTTAATGTTTTTAAAAGAAATGATGTACATGTCTGAACGCAATTCAGCTTCTGCTGCAATTTTCGTGATTTTAGCAATAAACCATTTTTGATTGATTGATTGATGGATTGATTGATTGATTGATTACATGTATATCCCACACATACCTGCATTGGGTTTTCTTTTCCTCTTGTTGTTACTAACAGTCGATGATGAGCTTTTTAGACCAGACACTCCTCCTGCTGTAACAATGGGACTTTTGGACAACCGTGCAGTGCCGGTAGCCATGGAAACAGTTGTTGCCATGGAAACAGCTCCAGGAGATTCAGAATTACTGTCTTTTGCCAACAAACTCTTGTCTTGTGATGTTGGTGTTTTCAAGTCGGTGTGGGAGAAAATGTCGGAGTCGGAGTCACTGTCGGAGGGGATCTGTAACGTCGCAGCGATGCTGAATATTTCTGAGTCACTGTCATCTGTAATTAGTAAAACATCATTAATTCTGTTAGCCTGTGTTACACAATTTCAGCTGGCAGGGGCCAATTTGGACCCCTTCCATGCTCAGAATTCTCTGTCACTCAAGAAACTAGTCATCGTAGCATAAAACAATATACAAAAACAATATGGAAACAGACAGTTCTCAGTCTGACAATAATTGATCCAGTTTTAACAAATACTACTAGTACTAGTATTGGATACTAGCACTAGTAGTAGTATGCATTAATGAACAGAATCTACAGTAGATACTATATTAGTATTGAGACTTACCAGGTACACTGAGCTGACTATGCCCTGTAGAACTGCTACTTGCTGTACCAGTCTTCTGACCTCCCTTCTCAGCATCTGTGTTGACAAGTTTGGACTTCTGGACCCTGAAAAGGTACAAGGACACTACTACGTACATACATGTAGCACATGTGCAGCAAAACTTCAGTTAGATAAGCTAATGTGGGGACACTATATTGACCTAGAAGTCAACCTTCTGGTCATAATGCAGTTACACAATTTTTCTCCTTTTACCGCCTCTGTCTCTACTGTATCCAAATAACTATATGACATACAAGCAACAGAAAACGCCTCCAAACAGGTAAAGGTAAAGAAAGTAGAATGATGACTAGCCTCCACAGCATGCCAAAAACTGGGGGTTTTGGGGGTCTTCATGGTCTTTGGGAGCTTTTACGTGCTATTTTCTGATTGCATATAGACAACATAGCCGGCCTGGTTGAATTACCCCCATTTTTTTTTAACTGGGCTAATCAGAAAACAGCTGAAGACCACCAAACCCCCAGTTCTATACGCCTGCTACGGACGCTAAATGATGACACTCTTCCTACCAATTGGATATGTCCTGTAGCACATCAGGACTTGGTACGGAGGGGAAGAGCTGTCTGCCGTTCCCCCTCCCCGCATCTCCTGTCAGCTTGTCCAGGTGAGACAAGGTGGGTGTCTCTGAGTCAGTTCTGGTTTCCACATCAGCTGGTCTCCCACACTTCTCAAACTAAGAAGTAATCAAATATATACAATAACTGCAATTACATGTACAGTGTACTTCCTTCCATTATTCTTATCTTAAAGCCATGAAACTCCATACTTCCAAACCTTAGCAGGCTGAAAGTTAACACACAATTCTAATCCATCTTATTACTAGTATATAATAATTAATATAACTAAATAATCAATATTATTTTCAACACCAAAGCAACAACCATTTCTAAAATCATATCCAGTTGCTTGAGTAACTGTTTTTTGGCATACCAAAGTAAACAGTTTCTTATACGACACTCTATCTAGATCACAGCTTGAACACTTCACTTCATGTAAAAAACCCCTGCCAACTGACCCTGAACTTGAACTCTGACCCTGCCTGTACAGCCAGCTGCCCAGGTTGAACAGTGCCGGCCTTCAGGTGCCCGAACGTGACGGTGTCGCCTTCCTGTAGTCTGTGGGGGGTCTGTGGCTTCAGCTGGGGGGGGGAACAAGGGATGTCTCCTTGTGTATAACACAGTCACAATCTTTATTTTGTCACATAGATTCTAGAATCCTTGAAAATGATGTACATGTAATAGCAAAACAATTTTACTAGGCCCAGGGATTGTCTTAAACTGCACATTGTGTACAATAAGAAGTTATATCCAATTTATCTGTTACCTGAGATGAACCTTACTGAGGGAGTTCATTCCAACAGATGCAGTACTCCAATAAGTATGAATTAGCTTCTACCAGGGTTTGGATAGTCCAAGCGACTGGAAAGAGTAGAAGTTGGCCAAATAGACAGGGGATTTGGTCTTCTATGGGACATTTGCTGCACCTAGACCAACTCCCCTGGCATGTTAATATCTGTCTACTATTTGGCCAATATCCTTACCCTAATATCATTAATGTAAGTCCCGTTGACACTCCTGTCTGTTATATCATACGTCAGGTTCCCCTGTCTGTCCTGTGATACGTGGATCTCGGCATGTCTGCGTGAGATGAGTGCTGGGTGGGACTGGGAGTCGATAAACACGTCACACTGGGCAGGGTTTCTACCGATCTGCAGGGTTTTGGGGGTGGATGCAAGTCTGGAGAGGTAAACCAAGACATGTCAGCAAAACAGTCAAACACCTTGTCTTCTTCAAAGGTTCTTTTTGAATACCATCAAAACATTTTTTTCTTTAATGTTTATGAGTTAAAACACCATGAAAACACTGATCAAAGCTGCTTTAGCAAATTGAAATACTATAGGTTGCTCAAAACTCATCTTTGTGTGTGTGTGTGGGTGGGATTATAACCTTGAAAATCCCAGACATTTCAAACATACCAATGTCTGAAAAAACAAGGACATTTATACTGTATAATGTCCTTGGAAAAACGAAGTGTGCATACTAATCATGTAAACTCGCTCTACTAGCTCTCCAAGCAGAGGTTTGGGTTTTGGGGTTATTTTTGGCGTGTTTTTAGACTTTTTTTATCGGGGTTTCTATATTGCACTGGAATTTTTTTTCTTCACCCAACCCAGCTGCAAAAGAGAAACCCCGATAAAAAAGGCTAAAAACACGCCAAAAATAACACCAAACCCAAACCTCTGCTTGGAGAGTAACGTGACTGACCTAAACACGTCCTGCACATCCGGCCGGCTTGCCGCCTTCCCCACCCGTCTGAGGCGGTAAACTTCTCCCTCCGCAGCTTCCATGGCTTCTAAACAAGCAAACTAACGATAAACACCAAAGGTTTTCTGCCTCTGGCGATAGAAACTGCAGTATTTATGAGAAGCTACGTCCACAGATGCTTTGAAAAATGGCGCGTCGTGCTTGCATAAATTTAATACAACCTTTGACCTTGATTGGAACAGTCTAATTTTTGGAACAACCAGTCTAATTTTCTTACTAACATATCTTTTACATTTAAACATCACGTAAAATTTGAGGTAAAAGTACAGTCTTTAAGGAGATGTTTTTGGGGACAATGAGGGAAATAGACATAAGAAATCCCCCCTTTTCGAGGGATAGACTAGTCCATACTGAGTGATAGACTATTCCATCTATTCATTTGGTATATTTTCCTTCTATTTAATGATCAAAATTTCTCTTATTTTTTTCAAAACATGTAATTTTTATAGTAAAAATATCCAAAATATACTTTATGATTCAATTGTAGAACAGTTTAGGGCCAAATGAAATCAGTTAGACATTAAATCAAGCTGGACATTTCCTCCCCTTTTCTGATGTGGACTAGTCCAGATTGCAAATGGCTACGACAGAAGTCGAAATCGAACCTCAGAACCAGGAAAGTTGCAAACCTCGCGGAGAAATGGCTTCAGACGACCCTGAACTCTGTATTCTGGGGGAGAAGGTGGACCACAAGCGCTGTCGGTACCCTTACGCTGTCGTCTGGACGCCCATACCGCTACTCACGTGAGTTTTAGATACGTTTAGTAGTGATGTTGTGAGCTTTTTTTTTTGACAGATGAATTTTTGCAACAAAAATATAGTCGTTTGGATGCTAGGCTCAAGGAGCTTTGATATCAGAATATCAGAGTAAAGCTGCTTCAGCATTTTATGGAGTGGGAGGGTTTTGATCTATGATACATAACTAAGACACCTGATAACCTTTCTATAGCCTTCTTGATATAACAAACATAGCTCAACATATTATATCTGCCTTTTGAATGTACAGATATTTAATCCGAAGAGCATGAGAGGGATATAGGGTCCGGTGTTATGATTTAAGAAGGTTATAAAGCATATAACCTTTATAACCTATCTATAACCTCCTTAATGTAACAAATATCTGCATAGGCAATTAATATATACATGTATCTGCCTTTTGTCATGTAACAGATACTTGTATTTCAATCTCCAAGTTCATTTAGATGTTAACAAAAAACGAAAAACTTAAAGTGTCATTTGATGATCTTTCATCATAATTTTTTCCTTACCCTGTAACCCAGGTGGTTGTTCCCCTTTATCGGGCACATGGGCATTGCCATGTCATCTGGGGTCATCAGGGACTTTGCAGGGCCGTACTATGTGTCGGTAAGTAATGAGTTGTGTGTTAGCTTTCATCTGCTGTCCTGAATCAATGTTGCCTAAGACACTAATTTCCAAGCAGATCTTTCTGTGACATTTACCATTTGCCATCCGGGTGGCTGAGTACTCTCTCTAAATCATAGTAAACGGCCAGTTCTAACCATAATGCTCTTGCCACCAGACATCTGCTTGAGGATTGTAAGAAACTATTACATGTATTACATATTTCCATCTTTTTTCTCAATGCAGGAGGATCACATGGCATTTGGAAGACCAACAAAGTAAGTTCTAGACTTTTTTTACATACGTGTACTAAGTTTGTTTAAATTGTGATATGAAATGTACCACTGTTCGAATATGTACAAACTTACCAGCAGTTTTCATAGAGGTTCTACTATAAGCCATAGTATGACTACCATTATGTGGTAATCTAATGATATCTTCCCCGCACAGATACTGGACAATGAGCCCTTCCAAAGCAAAGGGTGGTACAAAGGGTTGGGACTCCGCAGTCGGGGACGCTTCAGAGGAGTACAAACATCACATGGTCAGTACTAATGCTTCAGTGATGTACTCCTGGACCAGTATTTCCACTCTCTGTACAGCTCAGATAGTTATAGTAAGACATGTCTATCTGGACTCAAGTCTTATACAATGAACATAGATCACAAGATTCACAGCTATGCAGCACATGTACTCTCATCTGCCGAATAAAGATACGGGTACGTTTATTTTTTTTGGCCCTAACATCCACCCAGTACGTTCTTATTTTGCACAGTACGTTTATTAATTTTTTGAAAACCAGTAATTTTTTTCAACTTCGTGTGAAAAAAATTGACAAATCATCGACGTGAATACATTTATAAACGCGTATTGTAGCGAGAAACTTGTCATTTTCGGGCCGGTTTTTGCAATCACCGCGTGCGTAAATTCGTCTGAATGTTCTATTGTCATGGGTGGTGCTTATCAAAATACGAAATATTAAATGCTCCTTTTTTTGTCTATTTCAATTCCTAATTGCAAATAACAGTTAAAGATTTGTGCATATATCAGTAAGGGCGCATTTTAGTACAAGAGACACAGGTTACCTGTCAATTTTGGTAATTTTCCGGGGTACGTTATTCCGGGGGTATGTTTATTTGATTTTGTAAGATTTGTCCGGGGGGTAC